AGGGTTCTCCGTGGCGGCACGCATGCGCGCACCGTGCCAAGGGGTTCTAAGGACCACGTGTGGTAAATCTTGCGCCGCGAGACTGCGTCCGGGGACTGAATACCTGCGAAAGTTGTGACACGAATGTTAAATATGACGTAAAATTCAATCACTGGGAATTAGGCGGCCGATGCCAGTTAGAGTGATTATTTACTTTAACGCTGATTTTCCAGGTTGCCTCGTCCTGCGTGTCCTGCGGATCCTGGAATGAACAGTGGACAGTTGGGGAGAATGCATTTACATAATGCGGAGGAAAAACAAGCGTACCGGAACGAACCAACCGGCGTCGAGTCTTTGATTAAGATCGACGCGGTTTTTCGAGGCTGGTGTCATCATTGGGATTGTCTTCTCTGGAAATGGCTGTTTGAATGTTAATTAAGCGAGAACGGGTTAATGGTTTCACTGGATAGTGAACGCTGGTGGAGATTGCGAAAGTTTTCTTAGGATGCTGACTGCTAAAGGAAATTGTAGGTTTCTGGTTCTAGAGGACAGTTTAATTCAATTATATTATTGTTACAGTTCAGACAACTCGGCTAGACAATGATGCAGACGAGTTACCTAGTTGGCAGTCGAGTTAATTGATCAGGAACTAAGTCGAGATTCTTTTAATTGCTCTGTCTTATATCTACCCGAAGAAATTGGGTTTGATTCACAAAGGAAATTAACTACCAAATGAGTCAAAGTCAACCATTGATTTCTTTTGCGATCACTGAAGTACGTCTCATTAAAAAATTACTAAAGAAGCTGATTAAGTAATACCTAAGCTACAACTTAAACCAATTAAAATCTTAACAAATCCACGTTTCTAGTTTTTATAATGAAACTTTCAAAAGTCAATTCAACTCCTTGGTAGTCCTAGTGTTAAGGTGTTGATTTTATGGTGAAAATGATGCCACCAGAATTATGTGGCACGACAGTCAAAGTGTTAAGACGTATTATTTACTTCTCTTATGAGATTTCAGCTCGCATTTTCGTGGCACCTGCAAGGACAGACATACTGAAGCAATCTCTCTGCTCAGCAGTTCTACCTGCACCTGGAAACAAACGGGCCAGGCGAATGTAAACAAGATGCGCTTACCTGACCCGGGGAACACCGTCCACTCCAAAGTTTCCATGGGTTTTTCTGCGAACCGACCCGACCCGACCCGACCCGACCCGAACCGACTCGGAACATTCCTCCACCTGCATCTGTCTTCCGGATTCCTCTGAACCGCTCGTATACAAACTAACCGATTCCACCTGCGTTCCATTTAAGAACCTGTTACATTTCTTTTCAAATTCGTTTTGTCTCCGATCGCGGTCCGGATAAATCGCTTTCGAACTCCGGTAAAAGCGACTCGATTTTACAAATGAAAAACCGACTTATTCGAGACACACGAAAGAAACTGTAGATGAACACAGTACAATGTTTCTTTCGTTCGAGTTTCATTAGAATGTTCATTCGGTATTTCCTTGTAAATGGATTTATTCAACGCTGCAACTACCAGGTGGCTGAGAATCAACCATTACCGATTTCCTTTAGCATAATTACTAAACAACCGCAGATACTTGTTTGAGAAATTATTGAGACTGATTTAGTAATAGTTAATTCCTTGCCTTATGATGTGTCACACGTGCAGATTTTAAAGAGAATCGAACTAGCATGATTATTCTATCCTTTTGAATTCAAATGAAATATTCTGTTGTTAATCACTGTATCTTAGAGCGAACATTGATATAGAATATTCCTCAATTCTATTCTTTCTATTAATAAATTAACAAAGTAGTGTCGGTTATCATTGAGAAGTAAATCATAGGCAAGGGGTCAAGTAGATATATCATTGAAATCTTAAACCAGACTTCTAGCTCTCGCAAAGAAAAAAAGTCAGTTTAAGTCGTCAGCCTCTTACGCTGGAAACAAATTCACTTGGCGAAGAATTGTTTTTAAAATTCAGTGAGTGATGCATTCCAAAACAATTTAGCTTGATTTGTATTATATCAATTGCAATTTTACGAAACGTTTCCCCAGCGGGAGAGGCTGAAAAAATAGAGGGGACCGTGTTCGAGGCAGCGGCGAACGCTGAAAAATGGCAAACGGTGTAATTAGAGATGGCATGTGCTTGAAAGGGAAGCCCGTAATTTGTCTTGGCGTGGAGGATACTGTTCGTGAATGAAGTTGTACCGTGAACTCGTGCCGTCCGTGCCCGGCGGTGCCGCTTGAGAGAACGACACCGAGACCCCGGCTGGCTCCTGCGTTTTCTCGTAAACGCGTTTATTAGTCGAGCCAAATGCCACGCGGCCCCGCGACCGACCTTTCCTATTGTTCGGCGACACGCGGCGTCGCCGCGCTTCCTTTTTCCGCCGGGACCGCTCGAGTCCTTTAACCCTTTGCGGACGAAGATTCTTTAACCCTTTGCACTCTGTAGGTTTCAATATTACACCAAGAATAATATTAGATATTTTAATGAATCAAAGAAACTATCCTAAAATTATTAGATTTTCCACGCATAGAAATTTTGTGCTAACAAGGAAAATGAAAGGTTGAAGGAATGTTATAGCATTTTTCATTTTCACTGGAGACACCATAAAAATTAGTCGCTAAATTACAAAACCACTTGAAGTGCCAAGGGTTAATCCCATTCGAATTCAAAATGAATTTCCAAAGCGTCGCGTGTCGCCGACAGTGAAACCAGCATGCGACGCGCTGACTACATTCAATTGTCCCAGACGATATCGATCCTCCGCGAGAACAACGGGCAATTCCGAAAAATCTATTCCAGTCTTGGACAAGGCATCTCTGCGACGTGTGTGTTCTTTCACCTGTTATTTCACTGTTCATTGGCTGCGCACCTTGCCTCGGTGTAAGACCAGAGCCGCACAATAAAGGTCTTCGAG